GGTGGAATGTCAAGACCAGGCTTGGCAAGGTTCTGGTGGGCTGGTCCTGCTGTGAGCCGGGGGTTGACTGGATGACCTGTTGAGCTCTCTTCCAACTCTAATCTTCTAAGACGTTCCACCCTGATCTTCAGGGGCAGAGGCCAAGGCAGGATCCCAACCCCAGCCAGAACCAGGGTCGGATTCTCTCCCCAGGCAGGAGGGGGCCCCGCGGGGAAGGGAAGACGTTCCACCCTGATCTTCAGGGGCAGAGGCCAAGGCAGGATCCCAACCCCAGCCAGAACCAGGGTCGGATTCTCTCCCCAGGCAGGAGGGGGCCCCGCGGGGAAGGGAAGAACGGGGCCTTGGCACCAGCATCGATAAATGTCACCTGCCCCCGGTCACAGTCCAGACAGACCCGGATCCTGCGGGGGTCCCGGCTTAGGAGCAGGGAGGTCACAGGGGAGGTGAGAGCCTGGAACTGATTGAAGTACTGCACAGCCCAGATCCCCCCCTCAGGACTAAGGCTGATACGTCCTGCTGACAGACTCTCTGGCCACCCCCACAGCCCAGAACCCCCCATCCCCCACCTCCACCTCCCAGCAATGTCTCCCCGAGGTGAATCCCTCACAGCCCAGCACACAGACGTAAGTATCAAAACTGCCTGGGCTGCTCCGGTCACAGTCCAGACAGACCCGGATCCTGCGGGGGTCCCGGCTTAGGACCTGCCCCCGGTCACAGTCCAGACAAACACGGATCCTTCTGGGCGGGCTCCGGGGCAGCGGGATCACAGGGGAGGTGCGAGCCCGGAACTGACTCTCCTCCCACCACTCCACAGCCCAGATCCCCCCCTCAGGGCTCAGGCTGATCTGTCCCTTCCTGCTCACAGCCTCTCTGGCCACCCCCACAGCCCAGTGTCGCCCATCCCCCACCTCCACCTCCCAGCAATGTCTCCCCGAGGTGAATCCCTCACGGCCCAGCACACAGACGTAAGTATCAAAACTGCCTGGGCTGCTGGGCTGAGGCTGCTGTGGGTCTGCCCAGCTCACACGTTTCCGATCCTCAGACAGGAGGAGCAGGGGATGGGCCGTGTCTGGATCTAGAGTCACATTCACTGGGGAGAGAGAATCAGAGTGTGAGGGGCAGAGCTCAGCCCTGGAGGCACCTGGGGCCATTTCTCACCCTCCCCAGCAGCCCTGCAACAAGAAAGGAGGCCCCCTGAACTCCGCACTGGCACAGCTCTCACCCAACCCCGCCTCCAAGCTACTGCTCGCGAAGTCCCCGCCCTCCGGGCCCCATGGAGCCCTACCTATGTGGGTCTGGTTCTGTTCGCTGCACAGGAGGCATTTTCTTGGGGTAGGGGGAAGAGTCCAACTTTCCCAGCCTGCCACTTCTAGGGGAGACGCATGAGTGCAGTGGGTGCGGGAGGGAAGACCTGGTCCGGAACATGGGTTGAGCCAGGTCCCTGGGTCCAGCTCTCCCAGGAGCGCAGGGGCCCACACAACTGGGGCACAGCACCGAGGCTAGCATCAGGGGTGTTTGTGGGACTTCTGCTCGGGATCGCCTCCGTACTTCATGGTTGGGGCTGAGGGTGTTGGTGGCCGGGATGCGTTTGGTTGGCCATGTCAGGTACAATGTTATGAAAATGTGTCCAGGGGAATTTCTCATAATGAAAAATCATCTTCACCTGTAATCTCATCCTGGCCGTATGCTCCTGGGGGTTCCCATCCTTTTATTTCCAGCTCATAGAGAAAAGAGATGAGATTTCCTGCTCTCAGACTGATAACAGCATCTGAGCTGAGCTAACTTGGTTTGAATTGTGACAGGAAACTAGCAGAGATACAAAGGCTATGTTCCGAAAAAGCGGATGTGTTTTCAGCATCTCTGTATTCCTCTTGGTGAGAGGAATAAGGGATGTTCCAAAAGAGGAGTTCTTTCCGAAATTTGGCCTCTATGTAGACGGACCAAATTTTGGAAAAGCCTCTTTCAGAAAAAAAGCAGAAAAGTCTTTTTCCAGCTTTTCTGAGCAGTGTAGACATAAGACATGCTCAGGGCTGTTTAGTAAATCCATGGCTCTGAAACCATTGTTTTCCTCTTTCATTCAAGCCTCTCCCAGCAAAGGAGCCAAGAGGTCTCCCCACCCCCTCGGACATACAACCTGTCAGAAATATTTACTTTTCCCTCAGCATCCCATTCACCTAGTCCTGGGTCAGTCCCCACATCCAGGATGTGTCTACACTGCACCATTATTTCGAGATGACTAGTGTTATTTCAAAATAACAATGCGAGCATCTACACAGCCATTCGAAAATAATTTCAAAATAACGGACGGTTTATTCCGAAATCTGTAAACCTCATTCTACAAAGAATAACACCTATTCTGAAATAGCTATTTCAAAATAAGGTGTGTGTGGATGCTCCACTGCTGCTATGTCGAAATAGCCCCTCATCAGGGCCATTCTACATTATTTCTCCCCAGTGCCTCCTGGGGCCCTAAATCGAGATAGCACATCTACATTAGGGAAGCCTGCCTCCAACTAATTTTGAGGCTTCCCTTCAGTGTAGACGTGTTATTTCGAAATAACTATTCTGGAATCTATACAATTCAGGGTCTAAAATGAGGTCTATAAAATCATGACTGGTACGGAAAAAGTGAATAAGGAAACATTATTTACTTATTCCCACAATATAAGAACTAGGGGTCACCAAATGAAATGAATAGACAGCAGGTTTAAAACAAACAAAAGGAAGTTTTTCTTCATTGAGCGCACTGTCAACCTGTGGAACTCCTTGCCAGAGGATGCAGTGAAGGCTAGAACTTTAACAGGATTAAAAAAAGAGCTAAATATATTCATGGAGGTTAGATCCATCAATGGCTATTAGCCAGGATGGGTAGGAATGGTATCCCTAGCCTCTGTTTGTCTGGAAGTGGGTGACATGGGGGGGATCATGTGAGGGATTCCCTGTTGTGATCCTTCCCTCTGGGGCATCTGGCATTGGCCGCTGTGGGCAGACAGGATACTGAGCTAGATGGACCTTTGGCCTAACCCAGTATGGGCCATTCTTATGAAATAGCCGGGCAGTGTAGACGCACCCCTACATGCTGCAAAGGCATTAGCATGCGCAGAACTATACACTCTTCCATCCCCTTTGGCATTAAAGGGGTGAGAGGTGTTTACCAGGTGAAGGCTCCTAATTGTGCCCCACATCTCTTTACGCAGCATCTCCTCGGAGCCCTTGTCCTCCACAGGCTGACATGCAACGAGCAAAATCATGTTCCAAGTCTGGCGATTCGAGCTGGCGTATTATTGGCTGAACGGCTCAGATCCCCTGAGCTGGCAAAGAGACACGGGGGGCAGTTTGCGACCCCTCCCCGCCACATTCAGTGGCTGCCGAGCCCTAAGCAGACCTTGGCACAGGCAGGCGAAGGCCTAAGATCCAGCCATAGCAGGGCCTCTGTTCCTGCGTCACCCCTCCCCCACCTCTTCTCCATGCCCAGCGCTTGCTTCTTGCACCCGCAGCCGGCGGAGGACTCCTCTCTGCCCCCATCACTGCCAGTTGGGAGAGAAAATGGGGGTCCCAGATTAGGCCATTTTGGTGAATTTGGGCCTTACTGTTCCTCAGAGATTAAAACTGGGCTGGTGCCAGCTGATATTAAAGCGACGGGGGAGGAACAAAAGGGGCAGCTGCCCTGAGGGTGGGTGATATCAAATAATAATTTTGAAAAGACCCTTCAAATCCTCGCCGAAGCCTGACCCCAACCCTGCCCCTTCTGAGGCCCAGAGCTGCCCCCCACAGCCCTGGGTGCCCCAGTTAAGTCCTCACATTCACTTCCACGCAGGCCTTTCCCAAACTGCGAATCCATGTGAGACGTATGGAGACCTGGGCCCCATCACAGCAGCTCATTTACACTGCTTTCCACCTCCCATTCAATAGACACGCCGTCTCATTGGATGCCATCGGCCACTGCCCGTCTCCTCCCTTGCCCAAAGGCCGACGCCGTCTCATTGGATGCCATCGGCCACTGCCCGTCTCCTCCCAGGCCTAGAGGCCCAGCCCGGTTTCCCCTCCGAGCTCCTATTGCAGCACCTTTGAACTTCCACAGAGTCTCCCTTAGAGCAGCAGTTTTCTGGGGAAAATCGAAGATCCTCTTCTCCATCGCAGGAGAAATCTCCGGCAGCGGCTGGGACCACCCCTTCTCATAGCTGCAGAGAGAGAGTGACGGTTTAGATTATTTCTATGAGGCTACGTCTACACTGGAGGCTTCTTGAGCAAGAGCGCGTCCACACTGCAAAAGTGCCCGGAAAAAGCAGCCAGACTGCATGGACACTGTCGCAAGAAAGCTCTGCTTGCCATTAATAGTATGGCCACCAGTGCACCTGTGCTTCTTTTGATAGGCTGTTTTTGCACGAAAAAAAAAAAAACCCGTTTGCCATCCATACCTACTTTTTGTGTAAAAAGAGTTATTCCTTGTAGAAAGAGGAATTCCTACTGTTGGGATTTTGTGGTTCCCAGAGAGTCAGGTGCTGGGCAGAATCAAGGGTCTTCAATTCAATTCAACAAGACTTTATTCAATGTGCACAAAGGGAGAGCCCCCTGGTACTAAAATCAGCCAGAGCCCCTCGAGCAAGGAGCCCCTCCCCTTGCTGTTTTATAGCACATGGCAGTTACATAACAGGTTACATAACAAGTTATATATAATAAACTTCTAAACCAATCATATTCAATCTTTCCATATATGGCTTTGTTTGTCACATGCTTGTACTTCTCCACTCCACATGTGTAGTTCTCCCCCTCTCCTCTTGGCCTTTTTTAGACTGTTCCTAGGGTGGTGAGCCACAGCATGCTTCTTTATGCATATCTACTTTCCAAACCACGTTTTGTTTAAAATGAACACATGCATACCCTTCCCCTACACTGCAAAACCCCTTGGCTGTGTCTAGACTGCACCCCTTTTCCGTAAAAGGGATGCAAATTAGATACAGCGCAATTGCAAATGAAGCGGGGATTTAAATCTCCCCCGCTTCATTTGCATAAACATGGCTGCCCCCTTTTTCCTC